ACTATAATAATTCGTTTATTATTACGGAATGGTGTAGAACAATACGCACGATTTATATACCATGTTTGTCAGTGCAGAGGCAAATCTGAATTGACAATGCATTAAGTTTCCTTTACACAGTCTCACGCGATTATCATCTACTAGCAAGTTCAGACTAACATTTTTTATCATAATAAATCGAAAAATATATTTCGAAATGAGTTCAAGATAGTCATTTCGATTTATTTACTGAAAATCTATTTAAATGTTAATATGACTTTAGGTCCACATTTCTAAAGTGTAAGTTTTAAAAGCAATAATGAGGTTTTTTGGTGACGGTATCAGCTAAATATTTTACCAGTCTATGGGAAATTTATACTTTATTAAGAAAAAGTAAGATAAGATTTCGACGAGTTTCTCAAAATTTTATACAAATAAAACAAGTAATAATGATTAAATTATAAAAAGTTATTTTTTTAAAACGTAATTTGAGATATATTAAATCTTATAATACTTAAGTTATTCATTATTCAAAACTTATTCCCTCCAAATAACAGGTTTTCTCAAAGCTCTCCAAATACGCGTTTGTTTCGGTAATGACTTCTTTATTCTAGCTATTTCTTTAGGTTTGGAAACAGAAAAGAGTCGCAGGGGGCTAAATCTGGAGAATATGCTGGATGGGGTAGCAGTTCGTATCCCAATTCGTGGATTTGGGATCGTAATGCTTAATCAGTACACGAAATTCACTTGCCTGCTTTGAACGGCTATCAAACACCAACTGAACGAGTTGCCCACTGGTAGACTACAGCTGATGGCAGCACTGTTGCATTTGGAGTAACTGCGCGGGAAATTCAAAAAGTCACTGACTTATCAAACCGCCCTCGTATATTGTATATGTTCGAATATCATAAGCTTAACCGAAAATCTGAATGTTAAATAAAAGTCTTCAACAAAATCAATGTTTTTATAAGCAGAATATATTTTAAATAAAAACAAATATTAAAAATACTAATGACTATATCAAATCTCTCAGCATAATGATCTAACCGACACAGTGATCAGTCTCCAAACCCTTCAATCGATTGACATTAATAAAATATATAGTAACACACCCTAAGTTGTGTCTGAAATAGATTTTTTTCGTATATTCGAACCAAGTGAATATCACTTTTATTTCATTATGTTGAAGCTATTTGAGCCAGTGCACTTGAGCACTTTTACTCTTTCTTAACTCGAAGTATTTTTAAAACCTCTCTTTACGTCTTGACTGGATTATTGTTTATCACTTCATCAGACTAAGCAATAATTGACCTCAGATCTGCATACCTCCCCGAGAAGCCTGTAACCATTCTGAGATTTGATTATTATAATTAAGTTTATTTATACATCATATTTGTAAAGGGACTCATTATTTAGCAAGAAAAAATGATAATACTAATACACAACAATCAAAAACAAATAATGATGACGACATTTGTCGAAAGAATTCTCGGAAACAAACAAAATTGCAAGAAAAATAAATTAAAAAATATACAAATTTTATCTGGATAAAAAAATACATAAACGTAAGAGAATACAGCTCAAGAGTTGTAAATACAATTGAAGTGCGGTTTTTTATGGTAGATACTCATATATACAAACACTTGGCTCATGAGTCATACTTTTATATGACAATTCATTACTGTATGTATTGAAAAAAAATGTATGTGGAAAAAATAATAAAAAATTTGTTAAACATTGTAAAGAAAGAATTTTTTAATCAAAAGTACAAAATAAAGTAAGAAGTCGTTAACATAAAAATAGGCACGCGTATTCAAAGTCATAAGAAAATTAAGAGAAAAATCCAAAAGTTTGTCTTGACAAGTTGAGCCAAAACCGCATTCGTGATTGTTTATGATGCCAGTGACAGCGATAATGAATCACACCAAAGCACTCATTGTGTATTTAGTGTCGAAATCGTCGTGGTATCGTATGTGATGTTGCACAATGAAATATCTTAGGTTCCGCTAAAACCGCTACCAGTTCAATAACAGCAAAGATTATTCAAGTCACGTCAAAACAAATTGCGACAAAAGTTGTTGTGGTGCAAAACAAAAAATAACCATTATCCTGTGCAATCTTTCGATATATAGACGAACCCAAAAATTATTAAAATGGGTTGAGTCTTATCTTTCCGTATTAATAAATACTTTATTTAAAAAGATGACAGAGTAGCTTTATAAAATTTCTGATTAACTAAGAGACAACTTTATACAGAAGTAGTGTTTATTTTCAAGTTGTATATGAAACAATCAAGCAAAATGTACAAAAACTGGTGCATCTCTAATATGAGTTTATATGATATCTACACTATTCCAACCATTAAACTATAGCTCATAACTCAATAAATGCGCTATAACAGATATATCTCTCATTGCAGTTATGTGTGGTTTGACTATCCATTAAAATAACCAACGTCGAAAGTTACTTATACTACATACATTGAGAAACTGCAGTGACGTATAGAGAAGCATATCCCAAGAATACTTGGAGAACAACAGTTGCAAGCAATACGTTTAATAAATTTAGCTATCATTCACTAATCGAAATTCTATAGCACGAAATAGTTATAAAATTGATTAATTTGATGAGGTTTGAATGACTAATTTGTTTTTTATTATTTCATACTTAATTTAATCCACAATACTACACAGAACAAGGGCCTCATATGAAGACACCGTGTCAGAAGTCATTAGCTATCATGACTCTAATAGCACTAATTTCACTTTAAATAGCTTCCACACCTAACGTATTCCACAGATTTGAGATTTGAACTTTTATTACTTGTTCGAGGACCCTTAAAACATGCTTCAGGGAATGAAATTAAGAAACAAACACATTGCAGAAACAGGCATATTTTAAAGTCAAAGATGAATCATTCTACAAAAGAGGTATCAAAATGTTAGAGAAACGCTGCAATAATTGTATTACTCTGGAAAATTACGTTGATGTCTTTAATCAAAATTTGTTAAAAAGTTGTTGTTTTATTGGTTGTCCTACGAACTAATCAACCGATGTACTATTTTTTTAAGCTTAATTCTTCTCTCTCTTAATCTCTTGATCAATATTACAATCATGTATATCATATATTTAAGACTTTTTTTAAAGCACCATATTGTAGGCATTATAACCCATTGCAATCTAGAAAGCAAGTACATATGAGTTGCAAGAATAAGGGTCACCACCTACCCATAGACAGGAACAGGAAATGCAGAAATGTGTATTTTGACATTTATTGTATCTTTATAGTTTTTAGGGAAGTGATTTTTTGACAGTTTATAAGACTCTTCAACGGTAAGGACGTAAGAGCTATTTAATTGGATAGATCATGTTTTTGGCCTCTTTTCCCTCTGACAGTTTCTTACGATGAATGTTGTAATGAAACGACATAAAATCTTTAACAGACAGCAGAGAGATAATTGCTGAACTCTCACTGCAATCAACCAATTAGTCACGATTAGAACACTTTCTATGACAGGCCAACAGTATTTAATCAAGTCTTATTGATAAGAAAAAATGAAAGAGAAATCTAGAATATTGAATTTGATATATAAAAACAATAGGAACATCCTAAATTATATAGAAAAAATTATTCTAAATAACATTTTTATTGCACAAAAAAACGCTTCTATTTAAGTTATGGTTGATAACCCTTCATTGAGAGTCATCTCGTTTAAATACCTAAAACCCATATGTCAAATTTTTAATCCATCTACGAATTAAAATTCGTAAAACTAATTCACCTACGATTTAATCACTTAAGAGCCATTGTTTTTCAGAAACCACAATACAGTAAAAGTATTAAATGTGGCTGGGAGTTGGTAATATAAAACTTCTACATTAACAAGACCTTTTATGTTGTACTATAATTTCTTTACTTGTCATATTGGGGGCTTAACGATTAAATTTGTAGTATATTAGTAAATATATACATATATATGCTCAAAAAGTACCCGGATTTTGTAAATAAAACACACAAATTTAAAATTTATTCCAAATTAATTTTATCTCCTTCAAAATATGCTCCTTCTGAAGCGATACACATATGCCAACGTTTAACCCAATCTTCCACACACTTTTCGTAGGCCCATACAGGTATGGCTTTTAGTTCCTTCGACGAATTCTCTTTTACCGGTTCAATCGACTCAAAACGCTTACCACGAAGGTCAATTTAAGTTTCGGGAGCAGGAAAAAGTCGCACGGATCCAGATATGGCGAATATGGTGCCTGAGCTATGACAGTGGTGTCGTGTTTGGTTAAAAAATCGCGTACCATAAGAATTTTCCTTAGTAAAAATCGCTAAATGCACTTGAGGTACTCTCACATTAGCAGCTGCTGTAAACAAACTAATTGACAGATGGCGCTCAAATTTGTACCATATGTCAAGAAAGGGTGTACCAACATAACAAAAAAAAATTTGAAAAAGGTCTATTACTTAAGGAGTAGTTAACAAATAACAAAATCCGGATACTTTTTGAGCAGAAGTTATATAGTATATATATAGCCTCAGAACAGAGAATAAACAAATTGAGTATGATTTATATTTCTGATTTTTAAAACAATGTTTTACGCAAAAATTTAACATCGTTTCATGTAGAAGAAAATGGAAATATAGACGAGAATGGAAGTTTAGAAGATAATGGAAATATAGAAGAGAATGGAAATGTAGAAGAGATGGGCAGAAAAATCCCATCCGAATTGAATTTTTCCATTGCGATGTTGAAAATTTTTAAATAATTATTCATAATTTTAGTATAAAATAAAAAAATGTTTACGTCAAATCTTTTAAATGTAACGCTATAATTTATACAATATGATTCATATTTTATTATCAATAGAAATGAGTGCGGACGGCATATAATATCTGATAATGAAACATT